AGCATCAACTTCAGGACGTAAGTGCAAGCGAACGTTAACATGCCCCACCCCACCCCACCCCACCCCACATCCACAACGTAGCATCAACTTCGTCACGTAAGTGCAAGCGATTGTTAACATGCCCCACCCCACCCCACCAAACATAGCGATTTCCTCTGGGGTCGCTAACAGCGGCGCGAGCAAAAACAACGCTCCACTCAAAAGTGAATGTTGCGAATGACCTGGATCATGAAAGGGACCACCAAAGCCCAACAAAATCCCAATACCCAGGGGTTGCTGTTGCTGATGGTTGTTGGTCATGTGAGCGTCGCGTCTACAAGACGGTCCGTTGCGGTGGGCAGATCTCCGTTGTTTTCAGGGGTGCTCAGTCAGCTTTTGGTGCCTTTTGCTGCTTTCATGGATTCGAAGTTCATCCAAGCTCTATCCAAGTCCTTGGCAGCCGGGGATGTGAGCTGTAAACGTTGGAGGTTAGAACACAGAAGTCCAGAAGTATCGGATGGTATCGGTCACCGAACGCTCCTCTTTTCCAGCCTCTCGAGCTGTGTCTTTCTGCGAAGACATCTGAGTGAGGAGTCGCATGGTCGTGGTTTTGAGTCCCATCCAGTGAGGTGACCCGGGGAGCCCTGACCTCCATGGAAGGCACCCCTTGGTGACGAACGCCATTCTGTGCTTTACGAACACAAAACGCCAGACAAGACCTGGCCAAAAAAGATCTAGCACCCCAAATCTTTCCAAGATAGACCCCCAAATAGATAAGTTCGTAAATCCCCCACGTAGAGAGTGTGTACTGGAAACCGTACCCCAGTCATCTCTTCTTCGGACCACTTCTCGGTGGCTTTGATGCTCCCAACCTCCACGCGCTGACGACGCGCGAACCAAACCGACTCCGGTCCCTCCGACCAGCGAGCGGCTCAAGCGGCTCGAGCGGCGAGCGGCTCCGGTCTCCTCTTCGGGCGAGCCCCTGGGTGCACGGTGTCATGACACGGAAAGGAAAGGATAAAGGATGATGGTTGGAAGGAAAAGTCCATGACTATAAACGATATGACTTACGAAGGACCCCACAAGTGTGTGTCTACTGCGTTGGACCCACAGCCAAATCTAGGGTACTGTTCTTCTTACTGAGTAAACAATTAGGACCGTACTGCTCTTTAAGGGCTCGAAACGGTATAACACGAGTGATCACGAGCGGTAATCAACTCTGACACAATGAGACATGCACATAGGGGCACATCTCGCATCCCTCTTTGTGGCCTTTCATGGCCAATCAACCTCTGCACCATCTGTGTCCGTTAGCGCGACCCATCTCCAACATCGTCTCCCCGCTCTCCCCGCACGGTTCTTTCTCCCAACACCACCGGATCCGCAGATCCTTTCTCCGGTCGTCATTCCGGCTGCCCATCTGCAAGGACCCAAAGTGTGACCGCCCAGCGGCGTGGCGCTTTCGAGGGCTGAATGCCTGGAAATCGGGACTTGAAGCCTTCGGGATCGTTGCGTGACGTGAAAACCACCTGTTTGGGTCTTAATCTCTCGTGTCGTGGCGACGAACGTTGGGACCCATGGGCTGTCCGTTTTGGTTCAGTGTCCTTTGGACTGGACATTGGATGAAACGTCCTATAAATAGACTCTGGGTTAGGGTCTATCATCCTTGATAGATCTATAAAATTGTATAGTTAGTATAGGTTGTTGTAGAATTTTGTAGACTCTTTCTCTCATTGAGTATATAATATATATATATATGAAGAAACTGCTAAATCCAAATGGAGGGTGATTAATCAAAACATAGTCTACATAATAAAATTAGATTAAAATTAGGCATTTCAAGATAGATACCCATGTATCGAACAGGCAAGTCTCTTCCAAAATTCCTGAACTTCCAAGGGGTTGTCACTGTGTGAGCATTGGGGCTATCACCACACCCACTTTTGAGATCTGATGGGAAAGCTGGGGTAGCCAAGCAAACCAAGTTGATCATGGCTCCATGTAAAAAGTAAAACAAAAACAATTATAAACAACTTCTGGTCCGGTGTCGTCTTGTCCAAAAGGTCCTGGCGCTTCAAAGATTTCAAACATGGGTGGATACATCTGTTCAGAGCTTCAAATCTTCAAAAAATCCTCAGCTCTATGGGAGGTCCCTCTCGAACTTTCACCTGCACCACCTGCACTATATCCGTGGCACCATGCCAAACTTCCCGCGAGCGAAAGATCACGATGCGCCCCAGCAAGGGCTCCACGTCCACCTTGAGGGCCCCGCGGGACCCGCCGAACGTGCCAGCGGGATGAACGCGACACGTGGTCTGGGGAGTCTTGGGGGGCTCCGAAGTTGCAAATGATCCAGGGATGGGCTCCAAGGGTGAGAATTTCAAAAGACGTTGCGGGGATCAAGTTGGTGGACGAGTTTGTTCCCGTTCCCTGCTTGGTCGCTTGGTCTATGGAACCCCTTGGTTTAGTTACAGCTTTTGAAAGGAGCAGAGTCTTCTGGGCGCTTGCTTTCGCGGGCCAAGACTCAACAAATGGAACGTTCGCACCTTGTCTTGAGACGGAGAGTCGTAAGAAACAACACTTCCCATGCAGCTAAACAATTGGCCATGCCAAAGCCAGCTAAACTTATGCACATCCCATCATATCTCATCACATCCTCGGAAAAAAAAAAAAAAAACGGTTCTGTTTGATCCTCCAGGCCCCCAACCACCAGGGCCTGGCCCGTCCCACGTTCGCACCCGCTCCACCCGCTCCACCCCGGTCACGCGGGTCGCGTCGCGTGTCTTCCGGGCCGGGTGGCAAAGGCTTCTCCGTGACTCGTCGTCGTCGTGGACTCGGAATGATCCGCGGTGATCTGCAGCAGCTCTGGCACCCGGCGCCCAGGGCCCTGCCGGATCGGCGGATGCCTACGTGAAGAACGTTGGTAAGCCGCCAAAGAGCAAGCATGACCATGGGTGTTGATCAAACTTTGGATCCTAAACACTTTAACTGATTCACATGGAAAATGGCCTGGCCCCTGGAAAACCATGTAAAAAAGAAGAATTGGTGGCGAAGTCCACTTTCTTGTATGAAGCATGACTCGGAGAGTCCTTTTGGGATCTGAAGGGCGTGGAGCGAAAATGACTCCAAGAGCCTTTCTGTGACCTCTATTGTTGGACCACCAACCACCCGAAATTTGGTCCATTTTTTCCATTGCTTGTGGTAGTCAGGCTGTGTCCAGCGTCCAATGTCCTTCCAAAAACAGATCAATGATATAATTAGAATTTTGTTGTTTTCCAAGCCGCCGAGCTCCTCCCAAAACCGCTCATTTACGCGTCGCCGAGGGCACAGGCGATGCAGGAGCTTCTCGCAAGGTGTTGAAGACGCGGAGCTCTCCTGGAGACCGAAAAACAATCGGCTTGAAACGGACTATGACTATGACCAATCCAGGATGCACGGGATGGGTCAAATGCGAGAACATGATCTTCGAAGAATAATTTGAGATTCAATACGATTCTATTACATGCAGGTAGTATATACAGACTCCACTGGCATGAAAATTTCGATGCCGCTCAGGAAAAGCCAGGTTTTGAAGAAGTGCCGCGACTATTTTGGGGTTGCGGCGTGTTTCTAGGATTGCGTCATTTTGACTCAACTCGGGGTTTGGACCTCAAGTCGAAACAAAAACAAACATATAATGCAGCGTGTTTAATGTTTGTGGCGTGTTTGCCCGCGTTTTTGCGGCGTGTTTGCCCATGTCAGTGTGCGGTGTGCTTTTGTGAAGCTTGGTAAAAGCAAGTCGCTGCGTGTTTCTAGGAATGCAGCGTGTTTCTAGGAATGCAGCGTCTCTGGCAAAGCGGCGTGTTTCTTCAATTGCCGCAAAACAAAACAGTGGACGGCTGAAATAAACGCTGCAAGATTCTCTAGGATTCTCTATAGGTTCAATTCGAATTACTACAGTTTTTCTGGGTCCAATCTTGAGATTCGTACTTAGTGCAGGCAAAAAAAGTGTTCGACCGCGATTCTCACACGCAGACAATCAAAAGGACACGACAACATGGTCGCAGCCAGTCTATAGCCAGAGCTTGGGCGAACACGACAACGGTCGCTGCAGTCGTTCCGTCCTCCCCGACCCTACCCGTCTCCCAGTCCAAAGGAACGGGTTTAGGGTTGGTGCGTCATCCGTAAAGGACGCAGCTGCTTCACCCCTCCCAACGACCTAATGACCTATATGTTCGGTTTTGCACGGCCTTTCGCCCTGTTTTCACGGGCAAATCACGGGTTGTTCACGTCCTTTATATGCGGGTTTTTCACGGCCTTTTCAAGCTTCCAGCTCCCGTTTTGCAAATGCAACCGGTTGAACTGGTGCGTTACCAAGGAACTGGTTCAACTGGTACGTTCCCAACAGCAGGATCGACACCGACGGATCGCCCGAGTCGTATCGTCCCATGGACCCGGGTCCGTCCGCATCGTCGGTCCTGCCCCTCTGGTGTCAAGTGTTTTCCTCTACCGACCAGTGGTTTCGGATGCACCGACCGGGGGTTCCCATGTGCTCCGACCTGCGGTGGATTCTTCCAGAGGTCCAGCTCCGGACAGGTCCACCCCGACAGAGGCTCCGAAAACGGAAGTTCCGAAAGCCACGGATGGGCATCAGAGCACCCCTCAGGGTTCCATCTAAACCACATGAAACCACCCCACTTGGCCCCCACCGACATGCCGGATCCGGCGCACCGAAGCCTCCCAGCTCCAGCTCCAGCTCGCCGGCGCCCCGAACGAAGACGCTGTCCCCGACTCATCGAGGCGGCGACGACGCTCGGCCTCCGTCGCCCGGGCGCCAGTGAGGATTGAGGTAACACAAGATGGTGAGCATCCTGGCAGACCGCCGATGCAGCGAGGCGGCTCAAGGCGAAGGCGAAGGCGAAGGATTGAGGACACCTGACCCTGCAAGTGCTGGCGTGCCAGAAGAGAGCCAGTTTGGCGTGCCGGTTCAGGCAACACATTGGACCCTTGGACTATGTTGATGATTAGTATAGCAACATATAGCAACCCAACTAAGGAAAAGTGAATGACCCTCCATCGTGATATGGACGGTCAAAAATGGGATGAGAAGAAGTCACCCTTTGAAGAAAACGGTGAATTCGGTCGAGTGGTCATGAGTGGTCGAGGAAGGGCCCCAACAGCCGTTGCATGAATCTCCAACCAGCCGTTGCTGTTTCCAACAACAACCCGGTGGGGTAGGGCCGTGGCCATGGTCTCGCACTGCTCAGCTGCTTGATCGATACAGCGGACAGATGGGGAACAGGCGAAAAAAGGGAACTGCTCGGTGAGCAACTCTGGTGGGTTGCTCACTTCCAATCAGCATTCTTCTGGCTTATCCGGACTTGGGTGAGTTCAATCCGAAATGGCATGGGTAGCAGAGTATCCAGGCACAATCGGGCCCCAAATATGTAAAACTGAATTGTTTCCAGTGAGAGTCTAACACCCGCTGAGTGCCGCAACAAAAGCAGTGTTGAATGTTTTTGATCTATTCGTAGATGACCTGCTGTCCTTAGCAGCAAGGATCTGGCATCCCTGCCATGCATATTAGACCAAATATGACCAAATCATATCAGATATATTCAGATATTGTCAATGTTGCGAATGCACATGTGAGATTTGTTTTCCATTTTGCAATGCATTTCATGATGAGAGCGGATAGATGACATTCAAGTCACGCCGCAATCGAATTTCAATTCTCAAATCCGGCCGAAGGGCCCTTGAGTCACGTTCGGCGACGACCTTCGCCACCCGTTGGCATCGTGAGAAAGGACGCATCGCGGCCTTCGAGTTCTTTTTCTTTGTTGCTTGGAACTTCGTGAGTTCAAGTACTTCGAGATTGGTAGCGGAGCCCAAGACGATCCTCCCGGAATTTGACCAGGGTGAACTTTTTGTTTGAAGACGCCTATAGGGTAATCCTGGCCGGTGAGAATTAGATCATCTTAAAGATCACGTTCAGCAAGGCAGTCACAAATGAGTGGTCAGCAAAGAAGACAGCGAGATAGACCAGAAGGTGAACAACCAGTTGATGTCCCCATACCTCCTTCTCCTCCACGTGCAGCGAATGGAGCTAGTCCAGGAACTCCTTCCTCTGGATCCAACAACTATCGTGGATTGGATAGTGGCTTGGCAAAGGCCGCACCATCGGCCGAGGGGCTAACGCAAAGTGGCTATCGCAGCTACAGAAGACGATTGGAATTGTATGCCCTGCAGTGTCGTCGACGCTCAACGGATGCTGAGATTGAAGGTGCTCTTTTGGTCATCAGCCTCCTCAAGGACACTGTTTGGGATGCAGCAGAACAAATAGATTTGAAAGAAATCACAAGTGGAACAAATCCGTTCGCACCTTTGTTCACCATGATGGACCAGCTATTTCAATATGAAGAACAAATTGAGGTTCCATATCGGTGTGAAGAGTTCTTTCAAAGCTTCAATCGTCAGAAGGGAGAAGAAATGCAGGCATATCTCATTCGCCACCGCACTGCTTTGAAGAAACTTCGAGAGGTCAAGATCGACATTCCACCACTTCTTGCTGGATGGCACTTGTTGACCCGAAGTGGAACTCCAAAATGGACACACGTGCAAGTGAAAGCATTGTGCAAAGGCGAGCTTGACTATGAAGAGGTCCAACGAGCTTTGCTTCGTATGTTTGGTGGAGATCACAAACCAAACACCAAGGACATTGGACCTGTTGCCAAGTCATCCAAAGATGAGTTCTTCTATGAGGAAGACTTTGATGAGGAGTTCTACTACGAAGGAGAAGAAGAAGATGATTGGCACGAAGTCTACTATGAAGGTGATGAAGATGAAGAAGAAATCCCTGAGGAGCTTGAAGAAGCATACGAAAACATGGATGAAGCCTACATCTCCTACTTGGAATCAAGAAAAAGAATGAAGGAACTTGCCTTGGCCCGTGGCTTCTATCCCGTCGTGGCCATTGGTCCTGACTTCGATCATGGCAAAGGAGGCAAAAGCGAAAGAAAGGGAAGCTCAAAGGGCAAAGGAAAGAGTAAAGGAAAAGGAAAGGGAAAAGGCAAAGGAAAAAGCATGTTTCCTCGACGCCCAATGCATGGTCTTCGAAAGCCACCATCATCGTCGACTACTACCTCCTCCGAGTTGAGATCGACCCTGACCGGTTCCAATTCTTCTCATGGACCGAGGTTCAAACGATATCGAGTGCAAGCACAAGGTGTCAAAGAAGTTGGAGGTGAAGAAGTGACCATGGTGGAGGAACTAGCGGAAGAGTGCTTTCAAGAGGACATCTTCTTTGCCACCCTTGCTCCAGGTCACGCAATTGTGGATTCAGGTGCAACAAGAACATTGGTCGGAGAAGAAGTGTGGAAAGAATGGGTCGAGCACTATGATGAAGGCCTACTTGGACCTCTCCGTACTCAGGCACAAAAGCGATCCTTCAAGTTCGGCGGCGGAGAGATGCTTGAATCCAACTACGAAATCTCCTTCAACGCCTTGGTGAAAGGTCAAAAGCTGCCCATCACGGTTTCAGTGGTACCTGGGCACACTCCCTTCCTGTTGGCGAGACCAATGCTGGAACAATGGGGGGTGAAACAAGACTACGCCAGTGGCAACATGAAGGTGGCTCAATCCGAATGGTTTCAACCAAGTCGTGGACAAAAAGGCCACTATGTCTTGAACTTGTTGGAATATCATGAAGACGAACAAGAGATGAACTACATCATGGAAGAAGAGGTTTTGATCACGACAAGTCCACTGGAAATTGAACCGCCCTGTGAGACAGAACCGTCTGACATTGCAGAGCAGATCCTCATGGAGTCCGAAGCAAATGAAGTTGAAGAGATTTCTCAACAAGTTTTGCAGCGCCTTCAACAAGAAAGAAAATTGATCTTCTTTGAGGTCTATGTGGATGAAGGCAACCTGGCTACAGAACTGTTGAAACGCTTTCCAGACTGTGAGGTCGCTACTTTCAGCCTACCTCATTGGGACTTTGAAAAAGAAAATGACCGAAAAGCATTCCTCAAGTTGGTGAGAGAACAAAAGCCTCACTTCATCTGGTGTGCACCACCGTGTACGAAATGGTCACCAATGCAAAGGCTCAATATGATCAAGGCCGAAAAGCTAGCCTACATCCTGGAATTGCAAAAGCAAGAAGAAAAGCAACATTTGAAACTGGTTTTGGATGTCACCGACATCTGCAACTGGGAGATCAATGCCGGCATGGCCATGGAGCATCCTCATTTGGCTATGTCATGGAAGACGAAAACCCTGGAGTCCATGGATGGTTATGATGCAATCTGCAACCGATGCAGGACCGGTTTGTGCTACTATGATCGCATGGGAAACTATGTCGGAAAGGTCAAGAAACCTACGAGGATTCGCACAAACAGCCAAATGGTCTTTGAAGCACTGGATCTTCCATGTGAATGTCTTTCTGGAGAGCATGTTGCTATGGATGGAAAAGCAGAAAGCTTGAAGAAAATGCAAAACTACGAAAGAGGCTTCGTGAAAAGAGCAGCAAATGCCATCTATCAGGAGATGGAAGAACGATGGCGACAAAGAGAGATAGCCAAGATCTATATGGTTGAAGAGCAGGATGAGAAAAATAAAGTGAAGAATGCATCCAACATCACTGAAGAAGAGAAGAAGCTGATGAAGACCCACAGCAAGCAAAACCTACAGGTCATCAGCAAACTGCACAAGCAACTTGGACATCCAGGTGTAGATCGGATGATCAAAACGCTCAAAGATGCAGGTATGGATGAGTCTCTGATCCGATGTGCCAAAGACTACAAGTGTGAAGTGTGTGAGCGACAGGCACAACGGAAATTGGAGAAACCAGCTTCACTGCCTCAGGCCAGTCACTTCAATGAATGTTTGGAAGCTGATGTTTTTCACATCCGCTGGAATGGAGAAAAGCGAAAGGTTTTGGCCATCCTCGACATCTACTCCAAGTACGAAATCAATGCTGTGTTGGAGAGAGAAACTGAAGAAGCTGAACTTAAGATACTTCGTGAACAATGGCTTCAAACTTTTGGTCCTCCAGAACGATTCCGAACAGACCAGTCAGGAGCTCACATGAGTCAGAAGTATCTGGACTTCTTCGACCAAAACAACATCAAGCTGATCCTCGTGCCCAAAGAAGCTCACTATAGAATGGGATCAGTGGAAAGACTCCACGCTGTGAGAAGAATGCAGCTGCTCAAGATGCAACAAGATGAACCGAATGTACTCCTTGAAGAAGCTGTTCCAGTTGCTTGTCATCAACGAAACCGTCTTCGTTCAGTGCATGGTAGCTCACCATACCAAATCGTTTTTGGACACAATCCTCAATCGAACGGTCTTTGTGATGAACCGTACTTGTCCAAACCGCTCGATGACACGGAACAGCACCAAAAAGATCAAGCACTTCGGTATTCAGCAGCAAAAGCATTTTATGAAGCCAACAACAACCACCTGCTCAAACGTGCACTTCTTGCCAGGCCACGGTCTGAACATGTGGCCGCCAGCCTTGGCGATTGGATCTACTACTGGAGACAGGGGGAAAACAAACTTGACCCCACTCGCTGGCGTGGCCCGGCATTGGTCTGCGCCATAGAGCCCCGCAAGAACGATGACGGCCGCATCCGAGCTTCTGTTTACTGGGTTGCTCATGGCTCCAGTTTGGTGCGTGTTGCAAGTGAGCATATTCGTGCCGAGGTGGCTCGAGAAAGAGTTCATCGCCTGGAAACGCAACCTGACACAGCTGTTTCGAACAGTTTGGTTCATCGAGTTCGACAAGCTCTGACCCCTGTGCAGGGTCCTGTGCGTTTTCTTGATCTTGCAGGGGATCCCACCTTTTCGAATGCAAAGGCTGAAACTT